ATTGGGCAGTTATTTCTTGGATATGACACCAAAGGCACAGGCAACGAAACAAAAAAAGTAGACAAATTTGACTCCATGAAAAGTAAAACTTTCTGTGCATCAAAGGACAATGCCAGCCTATGGTATGGGAGACAGTATTTGCAAATTACATATCCAATAAGGGGGTAATATACAGAATATATAGAGAATTCCTAAAACTCTGCAACAAAAATCTCAATTAAAAAATGGGCAAAGGACTTGCATAGACATTTCTCCAAAGAAGCTATATGAATGGCTAATAAGCACCTGAAAAGATGTTCAATATCACTAATCATTAGGGAAATGCAAATCAAAATCACAATGAGATATTGCCTCACACCCATTAGAATGGCTTCTACCAAAAAACCAAAATAGCAAATTTGGTGAGGATGTGGAGATATTGGAACCTTGTGCACTGTTGGTGGAAATGGAAAATGGCACAACCACTGTGGAAAAAAGTAATTCTGTTTTTGGGTATATATCCAAAAGAATTGAAAGCGGGGTCTTGAAGGGATATGTGTACACCCATGTTCATAGCAGCATTATTTGCAATAGCTAAAATGTGGAAGCAACACAGGTATCCACTGACAAATGAATGGATAAGCAACATGTGGTATATCCATACAATGGAATATTATTCAGCCTTAAAAAGGAAGGAAATACTGACACATGCTACACGATGACTGAGCCTGAGAACATTATCCTAAGTGAAATAAGGCAGTTACAAAAGGGCAAATATTGTATGGTTTAACTTAAATGAGGCTCTAGAGTAGTCAAACTCAGAGACAGAAAGAAGAATGGTGATTGCCAGGGGCTGGGGGAGAGGGGAAATGAAGAGTTATTGTTTAATGGGTACAGAGTTTCGGTTCTGTAAGATAAAAAGAGTTCTAGAGATGGATGGTGATGATGGTTGCACAACAATATAAATGTACTTTATGCCTCAGAACTGTGCCCTTCAAAATGGTAAGTTTTATGTTATGCATATTTTACCACAATAAAAGATTGGAGAATTAAAAAAGGTAAAGGTGAAATAGACTTTATGGACATACACAAGCTGAAAGTATTCATTACCAGAAAACCAGCCACTACAAGAAGTGTTAAAGGAAGTCCTTCAGGCAAAAGAAAAATGTTACCAGATGGAAATCTAGATGTATACAAAGAAATGGAGAGCACTGGAAATAGTAACTTCAACTATTAATAATGGATTAATATAATTAAAAAAAAAAAATCTCTTGGGCCAACCCGTGGCGCACTCGGGAGAGTGCAGCGCTGGGAGCGCAGCGACGCTCCCGCCACAGGTTGGGATCCTATATAGGAATGGCCGGTGCGCTCACTGGCTGAGCGTGGTGCAGACGACACCGCACCAAGGGTTGCGATCCCCTTACTGGTCACGAAAAAGACAAAAAAAAATCTCTTGGGCCAACCCGTGGCGCACTCGGGAGAGTGCAGCGCTGGGAGCGCAGCGACGCTCCCGCCACAGGTTGGGATCCTATATAGGAATGGCCGGTGCGCTCACTGGCTGAGCGTGGTGCAGACGACACCGCACCAAGGGTTGCGATCCCCTTACTGGTCACGAAAAAGACAAAAAAAAAATCTCTTCAAAAGATAATTAGCTGTTTAAAGCAATGATCATAACAGTGTTCATGAGGTGCATAACGTATGAAGAAGTATGACAGCAACAGTCCAAAGGCTGGACGAGGAGAAATGGGAGTGGAGCGTTTTCAGGTTCTTATACTGTAAGTGAAGTGGTTTGATATCACCTGAAGGTAGACTGTGCTAAGTTAAAGAAGTACACTGCAAATCACTAAAACACCAATGAGCTGTGGTTAAAAACTATGGTTAATAACTCAGTAAAGGTGATAACATGGAATTATAAAAAGTACTTAGTTAATACAAACGAAAGTAGGAAAAGAAAAAGGAAACAAAGAACAGATGGGACAAATAGCAAGATGGTAGATAATCGCTTTAAATGTAAATAATCTAGGCTGGTCAGTTAGCTCATTTGGGATAGTGTGTTGCTGATTACACCAAGGTCAAGGGTTGGGATCCCCTTACTGGCCAGCTGCTGAAGGAAAAAATAAAATAAATAAATAATCTACACATCCCAAATATAAGGCATAGATTGTCAGATTGACCAAAAAAATCAGAACTAACCTATAAACTGTTGACAATAAACCCACTTTAAATATAAAGACACAAATATGTGAAAAGTAAAAAAATGGAAAATGGTGTACCATCCTAACACTTCTCAGTGGAAGCTGGGGTGGCTATATCCATAGCAGGCAAATTAGATATCAGAGTAAAGGATGTCACCAGGCATACAGTGTCATTTCATAGTGATAAAGGGGTCAGTCAAGTAAAGGGACAAATTAATCCTAAGTGGGTATGCATGTTATAACAGAGCTTCAAAGTATGTGCAAAAACCGATAGAAAGAGAAAATAGACATATCTGCGATTATAGTTAGTCAACCCTGCTCTCAATAATTAATAGAGCAAGTAGAAAATAAAAGTATGTAGAAGCTTTGAATAACACTATGAACCAACATAATCTAAACGACACGGACAGCAGAACCCACGCTCTTTCTCAGTGCACATGAAACATTTACCAAGATAGACCATATTTTGCATCGTAAAACAAGTCCAACAGTCAAAATCTGCAAAATCTGCAGACAGCCCACCAAGATAAACATATCATATTATATCTGTACAATGGAGCATGACTCAGCAAGAAAATGACTCATGACACATGCAACAACGTGGATGAATCTCAAACTGATTATGCTGGGTCAAAGAGTCCAGGCAAAAAAGGTTACATACTGTATGATTCCATTCATATAAAATTATAGAAAGTGCAAAGTGACCTGTAGTGATGGAAAGCAGTCAGTGGTTGCCTAGTGATGGGGTAAGAGGGATGGAGGAATCAGATGGATGGCCAAGGGGCAGAAGGAGACTTGAGAGCAATGTTTACTGTCTTTGACTGAGGTGATGGTTTCATAGGTGTAGACATACGTCGGAACTCATCAAGCACTACACTTTATGTGCAGTTTATTTGAGATCAATTGTTATGTGTATATATGCACATGCATACCTCTCTATGGAAACCAGAAATCCTCTTATGTGTTTTGTCCTTGCTTAGAACATCCAAAACAGGAGTCTAAGTGCAGTCACAAGCCACGAATCTGATATTGTTCACTGTAGCAGTGCCAGGTTGTGTTCATGCAAGTTAGGATTCTTGCCTGGTATTAACAAAATGAGGAAACCAGAGGTTTGTATTTACAACTAACCATGTAACAAACATACATGGTTGTAGTGTCAACCACTATACTATCAAATGCCTACTATGTAAAGATCACTCTTCTATGTACTAGGAACCTAGCACTGAAAAAAAGCCCCTTCTCCCATGGACTTTCCATTCTAATGAGGAGAGGGTGATGATAGCAAGTGAACTATACACGGTAAGAGCTCACATTCACAGGGTGTGTACCAGGACACAAGCTGTACTTCCTCACACAAGATATAAGTGACGTGAAGGGCATCTGGCTGTGGGGAGGCCCTGGCTTTTTCCTGAGTGGATAGGCAGGAATGGGAATGAGAAGCCATCTGAAAAAGAGGCATAGGTGGGCTCTCCGTGGCTTCACTGTGGACAAACCAAGAGGAAGCACTTGGTTGTTTTTTTTTTTTTTTTTCCCCTTTTTGTCTTTTTTCGTGACCGGCAACGGATCGCAACCCTCGGTGTTGCGCCCGCACCTCGCTCAGCCAGTGAATGGCCGGTCTGCATGTGGGATCCGAACCCTCAGCGGGAGCGCCGCCGTGCTCCCAAGCGGCGCACTGTAGCAGTGCACCACTGGGCCAGCCCGAGAGGAAGCACTTGGAACCATCCTGGTTGGAGGTGACTGTGACTTGAACTAAAGTGGGGAGAAGGACTTAGATCCAAGGTGTTTTGAAGTGAGTGCGGTTTGGGAGGAAAATATGAGGCGGAGATGATTCTAAGATTTTTGGCCTGAGCAACTAGAAGAACAGAGTTGCCATTTACTATGATAGGGAAGATGGGGGCAGAGGGATGAGTTTTGGGGGCAAAATTAAGGGGTCAATTTTGGACACATTAGGCTTAAGATGCCTGATTAGACACCTGAGTGTTTGCAACAAGGGGCATGGCTAGAAACAAGTCTGGAGTTCAAGGGAGAATTCTAGCTGGTGGGAGTTAACAGCGTATCTGTTGTAATTAAAAACATTATTATATGAATCTAAGTACAATTAACTGAATATAATAAATGCTTTCTCAACAGACTTGGGGAGATTTTTGGGATTTGTGGGGGAAGTCTTTCAGTAGATGCAATAACTTGTATTCATTTCCTTAACAGTACAAATATCAATATTTTATGCAGGTTAAAACTAATCAAATTAGCTCAAAGAGAATGGCCTCATTAATAATTTTCTAATTATCGGCCGGCCCGGTGGCGCACTGGAGAGTGCGCCGCTTGGGAGTGCGGTGGCGCTCCCGCCGAGGGTTCGGATCCCATGTGGAGACCGGTTCCCGCTCACTGGCTGAGCATGGTGCGGGTGCAACACCGAGGGTTGCGATCCCGTTGCCGGTCAGTAAAAAAGACAAAAAGGAATAAAAAAAAAAAAGAAAGAAATCATTTCAGTGCCTTGATCTTTCCAGATTCAGATCTAAGATGTATGACCTTTGTCTCTCCCAAGAACCCACACATCAAGACAAAAGTTTCTTCTCTCTGTGCGGGTCACTTCTGTGGCCCATATAGGGTCCTTCCTCAATCTGCTTCTCGTCTCTGGCATCAGGAAAGTCTGGCCCAGTCTAGATTTATTAATATCTTAGTATAACAGCATGCAGTATTACTTGCTATGGCATTGACGGTACATTTTTGCTTTCTAATTATAATGTAGAAAACTATTTTTAATCTACAATGATACAGTAGTAATATTTTGCTTTATGTTTTTTTCTTTTAATGTAAAAACCCAAGATCAGGAAGTCCCTAAGTGATGAAAGAATGTCTAAAATTAATTTAAAATCTTCAGGAAAAGGGTTAACCTTTTTTCCATCTCAAAATGGTGAGTATTTTAATTATACAACGTTAATGTTTACAAACTGTTGCTTATAAGTTATATAGTCTATAAAAATGTACAACCGTCTTTTTCACACAATGAGGCTGGTGCAGCCACTTCCGATTCTCTCCCTGGCTTGAGGGAGTTCACGGTCAGGGCATGACCACCCCCGGCCCTGCCTGCCCACCTCTAAGAGCCCGATGCTGTGGACTATATCCTTTTCTTACAGTCAACTTTTTCTCTCTCAACTTTTCTCATTCCCTTTGGCTTCTAAAGGTGCTCAAGTTAAAAACTACAACGAACAAACGCTTACTCAATCCCTCATACTCCTCTTCATAGTCTCCTTTCTCCTAGGAAAATATCTCTAGAGTTCTCTGTGTCCGCTGACTGCAGACCTCGCCTCCCCTCACCCTCTCTTCTGGTTGGGGCCGTCCAATGCCACTATGTTAATACATTCAGGGGGAATTTTCCGCCACCACCTTGCTGGCCTCTCAGCTGCATTTGGCTTTGCCTCCATGTCTTAGGCTGCTGGTGTTCCTTTTCCTCTGACTGCTCGTTGTTTATGGCAGGCTAACGCTAACTGGGGAGTTCCTTCAGGCTCCGTCCTGGGCCCTCCTCCTCTCAAAGGCTTTGCATATGTGTCCGCTCTACAGGGACTGTCTCTTCCCCCATGACTTTCTCCCTCCCTAAGGGATCGTTCCCTTGAGCACATGCTCTAGTAGGTCCAATAAGGAAAACCTCTCTTTTACCTCACGGTCTCTTCTAGGTTCTACTTTATTTCTCTGCTCCCCTTTGTCTTGAAAAGTGTATACACACATCTTCTTCAATTGCTGTCCTCTGTTTCTCCCTGAGCTCACTGCAAGTGGGTATTTGTCCTCGCCATACTGCTGATTGCCCCTCTTCATCACCAGCGACTTGCCTGTTGTCACCCCCACTATGCTGCTCTCACATGAATCGATCTCTCAGTAGTAATGAAAACTGTCAGCTTCTTGAAACACTCTCCTCCCTTGGCTTCTGTGACGTCACTCTCCTAGTTTTCATCTTCCTCTGGTACTATCTGCAAGGCGTGTCATTTTTCCCTTGTAGTGTTCAGCATCCCTGCAGAGAATTTACCCGACTCCCAAAGTGCCATATCAAGATGTACAGTTTCTACAACAGAAAAGAACTAAAAAAGGGAACCCCAATTTTACTGTTGATGTTATTAGCTGGTGATTGATTGTTAGCTCTGGCTATACCTTGATTTTGCCCTGGATCTCTCTGGTTATTCCTTTAACGTTGGCTGAGCGCCTACTGCGCGCCAGCCCCTGTGCCCTGGGCTCATGCTCCATCAACTGTCAAGGCCATTCCCTTACCCACGTGGCATCTTTTCTCAAAGTCCAACTGCATCCTGGTGGCTGTGACTTACTGTCTGTCCTCCAGCTAGCAGGTGTCTAGTTGAGAGTTCATTGATGAACATAAGAAGTAAGTAATCTTCATATTCAGTCTTGTTCTGACCTTAGAGTCCTAATGGATTGTATACAATTCAATTCTCTGAATTTTAAAATCTGCCATGTGACTAGAAAATCAGGATTGCTTAAAAGGATGGAAAAAATTAGTATGATTTTAAAGAGTTAGAGACTGTGTAGCCTAGACGAGAAGGGGATAAAGAGGGAAAACTACTGTGAAATTATTTTTGTGAGGGTAACCAGATTTGTAGCCCTCTAGAAGAGAGGATGCACTCAGGCACACGGCTGTCTTTGTCTCTGAGGCACTTCAAACTTTGAATAAGTAAAAGACAGATACCATCAACTATTTTGTCTCACAGATCTAAATAGTTGTAGCCTTGTCTGAGGCTGAAGGGTGGCACAAAAAAGTCTCTTTCACAATTCTTTTCATTTCTTTGTTTACTCTGCCTGTAGTGGTCCCATGCACCTTAGTCAAGGCCCCCGAAAGTTGTGTTTTGGGTGCTCTGATCTCTCCTTATACGTTTAACACATTTAAAATGACCAACAAAGCTAGTTTAGAAAGCCTAGGGCTGACTGTTTAGCTCGGTTGGGTAGAGTGTGGGGTTGATAACACCGAGGTTAAGGGTTTGAATCCCTGTACCAGACAGCTGCCAAAATAAAATGTTTTTTAAAGATGAATAATATGAAAAATGGCATTTATTTTGGCAAAAGAATATAGTAAGTGATTCTTGAACCACAAAATAATTCCATAAACATAAAATTTATTAACTTGTAGCCCAAAATGTGACATTTGATGCAAACTCAGGGCCTGAAACAAATGTGGAAGCAGTCTCAAAATTCGAAGTCAAAGATGATAGAGGATCACAACACACTGATGAAGAAGAATATACTTGTATTAAAGAAGGACCAGGTATGTTGATTTTAAGAGTAAAATATCCTCTAACTGCTTGAAAATTAAAAAGAAAAACAAAACAAACAAACAACAAAAAGCTCCACCAAACATGAAGTCTTCCATTCTTCTATGTAATTCTTAGAGAAAAGCAAATTGCATTCCTAAGAATACTTAGAAGACTGGAATAGCTTAAATATTACCTATAAGACATGGCCAAGACTATAACCAGAGAAAATTTATAGTATTAAGTGTTTTCATTATTAAACAAAAGTACAATAACCTAGACATTCAGCCCCAATAGGGAGAAAGGAGGAATAACAAAACACGAGGAAAACAGGAGGAAAGCTTTAACAAAATCAACTCACGAAGTATTTGTCAGAAAACAAGAATCATAACACTAGTCATTCTCGAAGCTGGTTCTTTAAGTAAAAAGATAAATAAAATAGAGATCCTCAACCTAGTATAATCTGCACCAAAGTGATAAAATACATACTAAGTAGGAAGGGAGAAGTAAAAAAACCACAAATAAAATTTTTGAAAGTACAGTAAGAGAATGCCATATACAACTTTAAACTAATAAATTTGAAAAATTTGAAATGATTTTCTGGGAGATATTAATAACAAACATAGACTCAAGAAAATATAGAAAATTTGAATAATCATGGGGAACAAACTCAAAAATTATGCCCCCAAATTTAATTTTTATGAGCCAGTTCTTTTAAAAATTTGAGAAAGCAATAATAAGAATTATTCTTATATTATTTTTTTAAAAACCCTCCAAAGAATAAAATAAAAAGCCTTTCATTTCATTTAACAAAGTTAACATAACCAAAAATATGAAAACTTGATGAAGATAAAAAATTAAAATAACAGACCAGTGTTCTCAACTGGGAAACAGAGGGTGACCAGAGTGGGGATTCTGGGGAGATGGAAGTGGCATTTGTGCAGCTTTTTTTTCATCTCTCTAAATCCCCACATAAAGATAGCACAGTTAGAATAGCAAAATCAAAACCCCATAAACTGCATATACAACCATATTTTGTGACAAGGCATCACAATAAAGTAAAAATATGAGTAGACAGGGACACTAGTTACAAAACCCTCATGCATCAGAATGTAAAAAGGATGTAAGAGACAGTAACAGATATAAAAGACAGAGAGAAGCAATTAGTGTGTCCTAAAGACCTGAGAACACTAGCACCCGAAGTTCCCAACACGGACTCCCAGGCAAGCATGGCAGGCCAGGCTGAGAAGAGCAACCGAGGCAGGGAGGTCTCTGCACTCCAGTTAATGAATGAGCACCAGGGGTCAGAGTAAAGTCTAAAGGGGAGAGGGCGGTTGGGCCCCAGGAACAAACCACCCCAGGAACAAACCAAAGCTCCTTTCAGGAAAACCACAACACTGAGGAAAAAGTGCTAGGAGTAGAATTCACACTGAGAAGGCTGGGACAGGAGGGCAAAGAAATATTCAGGTGAAAAGAGATAAGGAAGTAGTGGCAGAAGGTCTCAAAGTACAGGGCCATCTTGTTTCCTTTTGTGAAAAGAACAGGATGGGAAGCTAGAAAAATTGTCACGTTCCACCTACCTGTACACTAAAAATTCAGGAAAATGACTTTTGTGTAAAACAGATAGGTTTGTGATTAAATCCCAGATGATATTATAAGAAAAAAATAAGCTGAATAATGCTCCTACAGATATGAAAGCATGCCAGAAAGAGGAGCCCATAAAACAGATGGAAAACTGTCACTTACTAGTGTAAAACAGATAGGTTTGTGATTAAATCCCAGATGATATTATAAGAAAAAAATAAGCTGAATAATGCTCCTGCAGATATGAAAGCATGCCAGAAAGAGGAGCCCATAAAACAGATGGAAAACTGTCACTTACTACAGGTTGAGGATCTCTTATCTGAAATGCTCGGGACCAGAAGTGCTTTGGATTTCATGCTTTTTTGGATTTTATAATATTTGCATTATATATTTACCAGGCGAGGATCTCTCTAATCCGAAAATCCAAAATCTGAAATGCTCCAATGAGTATTTCCTCTGAGCATGACCTTAGAGTGTCATGTCAAAAAGTTTTGGATTTTGTAGCATTTTGGAGTTTGCATTTTTGGATTAGGATACTCAACCTGTATTTGCAAAATGAACCTAAAGAAATTGAGAATGTGATAGAAGAGATAACAAGCAACATAAATCAGAATTAGAAAATTGTGAGTGGGCCGGCCCAGTGGTGCACTCGGTAGAGTGTGGCGCTTGGGAGTGCGGTGGCACTCCCGCCGAGGGTTCGGATCCCATATAGAGACCTGTCTGCTCACTGGTTGAGTGCGGTGCGGGTGCGACACCGAGGGTTGCGATCCTGTTGCCGGTCGCGGTACGGGCGCGACACCGAGGGTTGCAATCCCGTTACCGGTAGTGAAAAAAGACAAAAAAAGGAAAAAAAAAAAAAAAAGAAAAAGAAAATCATGAGTGATATAATAGAACTTAGGAGAAAATTAGAAATAAAAGGAAAAAAAAAAAAAAAAGACCAAACTAGAAAAAAAAGAGTGAATAAACAAACAGAGAGACAGCCTTGAGAGGAACAGAAAGTAAAAAGAGTTTAAAAGTAAAAAAGATACAAATGATAAAAAGGATTCCAGAGAAAGTAACAGATATATGACAGGCAAAAAAGTCCTAACCTAATAGGAATCCCCCAAAGAACACTAAAGCAATGGAACAAAATATTCAAATCTGTATTTTAAGAAAATTTTCTTGAGATAAAAAGCCTTAGAACTTACATATTCAAAGGACATCTGCAAACCTTGGAAAACTGACCCAGAACTATCAAGACCGAGACAAATCTAATAAACTACTAGGGAATGAGAGACAGAGAGAACACAAGCAAAGCAAACCTAGGGCATCCAAGCAAAGTGACCAAGTCAATCATAAAAAAAAGAAGATTGGATCATCATCAGACTTTTATTTTTTTTGACAATAATGTTTTATGCCAGAAAACATCAGAGTTTATTTAAGTTCCTCGAGGACAGCAAGTATGAGCTAAGGATTTTACATTTAACCTTCAGATAGGAAGGCTATAGACAAACTTTTAAGGCCATTCACGAACTCAAGGACTGTTGTTCTCACAAGCACTTCCTGATGAATCTAGCAGAGGTGGACTTTGAGGCAACAAAGCCAAAGGACCCATAATAAGTGATGCCAGGAGGACAGTGGTAAGCATTTGTTATACTCCATTTCACCTCATGAAAAGGGTCTTCCCTGACTGTCCTACTAAAATAGCACTCACTTGGTTAGTGAATGGCCTTGTAACACCAGGGTCAAGGGTTCAGATCCCAGTACTGGCCAGCCACCAAAAAAAGAAAAAGGAAAATAAATAAAATAGAACTGTACTCTGGCATCTGCTCCCTTACCCTGCCTTTGTTTTTTCTCTGCAGTGTCACATTTGCACCTCCCTTCTCTCTCCCTTCTCTCCCCACTCCCGGAATGGAAGTGTCCTGAAAGCGGAGATTCAGTTCTAATCACTGCTATATTCCTGGATCCTAGGGACTCAATAAACACTTGTGGAGTAAAAGTTTTAACGAATGAATAATCTCATTGTCTACCTGAAAAAATGTAAGCATCAACTGAAAAGCCATTAGAAATAACAAAAGTGATGGCCGGCCCGGTGGCGCACTGCTATAGTGCGCCGCTTGGGAAGTGCGGTGGCGCTCCCGCCGAGGGTTCCGGATCCCACATACAGACCGGTTCCCGCTCACTGGCTGAGCGAGGCGCGGGAGCAACACCGAGGGGTGCGATCCCGTTGCCGGACACGGAAAAAGACAAAAAAAAAAAAAAAAAAAAAAAAAAAAAAAAGAAATAACAAAAGTGAGATGGTTGGTTTACAAAATGGAAGTTAAAAAAACCAAATTCAGGGCCGGCCCGGTGGCGCACTGGAGAGTGCGGCGCTTGGGAGCAGGCGGCGCTCCCGCTGAGGGTTCGGATCCCATGTGGAGACCGGTTCCCGCTCGCTGGCTGGGTGCGGTGCGGGCGCAACACCGAGGGTTGCGATCCCGTTGCCGGTCAGTAAAAGAGACAAAAAAAGGAAAAAAAAAAAAAACCAAATTCAATAGCTTTTCCGTATACTACTATCAATAGTCAGAAAAAAAATGGAGAAAGAGAAAACATTAAGAGGGAAGAAGTTCCAATTGGTGGTAACAACAAAATACAATGTATCTAGGAATAAACATTAGAAGAGTTTGTGCGACTTACATGAAGAAACAAGTAACAAAACCAAAAATAGGCAAATGGATTACATCAAAATAAAAAGCTTCTGCATAGCAAAAAACCCAAACAAACAAAAAAACAATTAGCAGAGGGAAGAGGCAACCTACTTACTGGGAGAAAATATCTGCAAGCCATGCATCTGTTAAGGGGTTAATATCTAAAATATATAAGGAATTAAACTCATTAGCCAGAAAACAACCCAATTGAAAAATAGGCAAAGAACCTGAATAGACATTTCTCAAAAGAAGACATAGAAATGGTCAAAAGATATATGAAAAAAAAAAAAAGCTCAAATCAGTAATCATTAGGGAAATGCAAATTAAAACCACGATGAGATATCACCCAACACTTATCAGAATGGCTGTTATCAAAAAGATGAAAGATAACAAGTGTTGGGCAGGATGTGGAGAAAAGGGGACACTTGAACTCTGTCAGTAGGAGTGTAAATTAGTATAGTCATTATGGAAAACAGTATGGAGTTTCCTCAAAAAGCTAAAAATCAAATTAACATTTGATACCCAGCAGCCCCACTTCTAGGTTTATATACACAGGACTTGAAGTCAGTATGCTGAAGAGATAGCTACACTCCCACGTTCACTACAACATTATTCACAATAGCCAAGAAAGGGAATCAACCTAAGTGTTTATTGTTGGATAAATGGATAAAGAAAATGTGGTATATATACACGATGGGATGCTATTCAGCCTTAAAAAAGAAGGAAATTCTGTCATTTGCGACAACATGGATGAACCTGGAGGACGTTATGCTAGGTGACATAAGCCAGACACAGAAAGACAAATGCCATATGATCTCACTTTTCTGTGGGATCTACCACAATCGAACTCAAAGAAGAAGAGAACAGAATAGTGGTTACCAGAGGCTGGGAGGTGAGGGGAACGGGGAGATGTTGGACAAGGGTATAAAATCTCAATTCGACAGAAAGTGTTAAGTTTTTTTTTTTTGATCTATTGCATAACATGGTGACTATAGTTCATAGTAATATATCATATATTTCAAAATTGCTGAGGGTAAATTTCAAATGTTCTCACCCCCAAATGATAACTATTTGAAGTGATGGATATTAAATTAACTTAATTGTTCCACATTGTATACCCATAACATCACATTGTACCTCATAAGTGTACACAATTATAATTTGTCATACAATAAAATTTTTAAAAAAGAAAACTACTGTACTTTACAGACCTTAGAAAAGTCTTGAATAAACAGAAATACCACCTACCTTATGGAAAGACTCAATATTGTAGCAGTGTAGATTCTTTTATTTATTTATTTTTTTTTATTTTTTATTTTTTTGTCTTTTTTCCGTGTCCGGCAACGGATCGCAACCCTCAGTGTTGCCCCCGTACCGGACCGGGGACCGGCAACGGGATTGCAACCCTCGGTGTTGCTCCCGTGCCTCGCTCAGCCAGTGAGTGGGAACCGGTCTGTATGTGGGATCCGAACCCTCGGGCGGGAGCACCGCTGTGCTTCCCAAGCGGCGCACTATCCAGTGCGCCACCGGGCCGGCCCAGCAGTGTAGATTCTTACCAAGTTAATTTATAAATTTAATTCCAATCCCATCAATTTTTGAAATTTGACAAAATCATCCTAATGTTTTTCTGGAAAAATCAACAGGCAGAAACAGATGTAAGAATATTAAAAAGAAAATTGGGAAGGTACTTTTAGTCCTAGATATTAAAACACACTGAAAATGTAAACCTACAATAATTAAAATAGTGTGGTTCTGGCAAAATAATAGGCAGATCATTGCAAACACAAACATAAACATTTAGTATATAATAAAGAGTTTATTTTTAGTAGGGAAAAGGTGGATAACGTAATACATGGAGCTGGGATTATTGGCTAAGTTTTGGGAAAAATTCAAATGTATTAAAGAGTTAAATGTAAAAATTAGAACCATAAGAATTAAAAGCATATAAACTGAACATTTATATACTTAGTGTTGAAAAAGGCCTTTTTAGGCATAAAAACTAAGGCAAAAACTACAAAGAAAAATACTTATAGAATTGACTACTTGAAAATCAAAATCATCTTTTGGCAAAAGAAGCCAATAACAAAGTGCAAAGTCAAACAAACTGAGAAAAAAAATTAAGAAAGGTTAATATCCTTAAAATATTAATAAAAAAAAAATGAAAAACCAAACAGGAAAAATCACTTTTTCTCACAAAACATAAATGACCCACAAGCACATGAAAAAATGCTTAGCTTCACTGATAATCAGAGAAATGCAAGTTAAAAAATAGAATAAGAGACTGTCAAGAGAAAATGGTGCTTATGACAGTGAAGTGAGAAAAATATTTTCATACACTGCAAGACAGATTATAAAGTGGCTCAGCCTTTCTAAAAGGGAGTCTGGAAATATGCATCAAAATTTTAAATGTGAATACTGTTTTGACCAGCAATTCTAATTCTATGGATTTATCCCAAGGAAATTTTGGAGAAGTAGGGAAAAACATATATATATATATATATAAGGATGTTCATTACAGCATTGTTTATAAAACTGAAAAACTGAGAAAAGCCTTGTTTAGATTGCCACATCTCTTATGGTTTCTATCCATACAATAGAATAACTTATAGCCATTAAAAATCTCTTATAGAATGTATTGCTGACTGAAAAACAGGATATATGATCCCATTTTTGTTAACTGCATGCTGTGATAGAGTACACCAGAATGTCAATAACATTCTGATTGCACTAGAGAAGGCAGATATTTTCATTGCTGTGTTTACCGTAGCACTTATAACAGGGCCTGTTACCTAATAGGTGCCCAATAATTATTTGTGGAACAAATTGAAGTTTTCTGCAGTGAGCAAACTTGACTTCTATAGTTGGAAATTCTACTCAATACATTTTATCTTTTATAGTAGAGTTTTAATGCCCTGCAAATCTGTACCAGTCCATTCCATCCCTGCCCACTATGGGTTATGATTTCAGTCCTTTTTTTTTTTTTTTTTTTTTTTTTTTTTTTTTTT